CACTTTCTACTAAGGTCTTCAGTTAGCAACCGTTCCACTCCCAACTAGTTGATCCAACAGGCTTCTTATTAAAACTTCAGGTGAATTAAACTTTATTCGTTATACAATAAAGTGAATGTAAAAACCGGGATGATACATAACCATGGATGTTGGATAGTTGTAAGTTCTTGAAAGGGCAATCTAATAGCTACTTTTCAACAAGGATTATTATCAACCTTGAAATAAGATGTACTTCTTCAAGTTCTTGAAAAGATACGAAATATACTGTTATACTAGCTAGCTAGCACTACAGGTTGCTGTACTGGCAAGTTTCATATTATTTTGATGGTGCTGTGTTCTTTGAGCCTTTAAGGGTCACCCTAACAACAGCTTAGATAACCAATCCTGTGTCTCCCCATTTAAAAAATAACCTCCTTCCCAACCGGAATATTGAAAGCTGATTGGCTATTTCAGCATTTCAAATTAAGTATTAGATTAATGGAGGGGATTAACGTGAAGCTATGGATTCAGATATGATGCTTATTGAAATTCTATCCTAAAGTATGCCTTATCTTTCCATGGCAAACACAGTAGAAGAGAAGACCTTCATACTGTACATTTGACCTTCAGCAGGTTAACCTCCTGTGACCAATCAATGTATCGAGTCCAGTCCTACAAGGGGTCAATCACAGCCCGAAAAGCTTAGTGATAGCAGCATTGTGACGTGGGTTAGAGTCTCAAATGGGACATTAGTTCCGTCAAGGTTACAGATACGTCTTCATGGCAAGTGCCAATTTGAAGCAAGACTTCTTGTCAATTTCTTCCATTCAAATGAAGTCTATCACAGGCTTACTTTATAACCATAAGATGTCGACTAAGTTGACGAATATAAATAAATTTCCACTCTCAATTCAAGACTAATTTATTAAGAGAGTTGATAAACTCAACTATTTAAGTTTTGAGTAAGCTATGAAGCATAATTTGGAACTTAGTAGACATGAAACTTGGGACAAACATTCTCAGGTTTTCTGTAAAAGCATTAGGAAGACCAATTTATACTACTTTTCTCTTATAGATCCTTCAAGAAGCAAAGTCGAGGACGAACAAAGATTAGTTTAGCTATCTCCCTAAGATACGTTACGACAGAAATCGATAAAAATTATTACTATATTATCATTTATTCCTTGAGTACCTAGTGGAACATATGACTTCAGTACCATGCTGCCACTTCACTCTATTCTTTCAAGTCTTTTCAACCTGGCTCTACCACTCCCCATAAGCTTTCATTTCTTTCTCATACCATCACTTCTGTGTCACCCTCGGACATTCGACTCGTCGTTTCCCATTCACGTCACACTCAAAGACCTGGCCTGGCACGTGATTTCCCCAAATGGTCTTCTCAGTGTATGTCTAATCAAATCAATTTCATCTCCAATTTCTTCTGCATATTTGTTAAGCTATCGGTTCTTGCCTCGTTGGTTCATTGACAGGCAGCCATCAAGAGTTCCACCTTACTTATTCTTATTATTCTGGTCATCTGTCTGACCATCTGATCTGATCTTCAGTATGGAGTCAGCGTTGGCGGCAGCTGTTCACGTGATGCATGTCCGCAGTTTGTTGGAAATGATTTTCGTAACAAGTGCCAACTCTCTCAACCATCACATAGAAACACTGACTTATTTGACTGAATTAGTGTTGAAAATCTGGACGTTGTTCACGCTTAATGCTGAGTGCAGTGCAGTGCAAGGCAGTGCATTGCAGTAGTTCTTCACACTGACTATTCTAGATAAGTGAAGGAAGGCTTGTCTTCCTGTCTTTCTGATGATGACTTCGACATCGTCATCTGTGCCTGCGCCGTCTGTTGTTGAAATGATGATAACTTGCCTAGGTGGGTGTAACAGACAATTTCCTCTAGATTTCTGCCTCTCATGGTGATTGGTGCTTTTTGTTATTGTTTGGGTATCTTCATCACCTCTGTCTTCTCCACCTTCATTCGATGGAGGTCCTATCTTCCTTCATAGGTCATACATATTATGCCAATATTCTCACAGCTCCTCACCATTGTCAGTTGCATGATCCAGTCCAGTCTAGTCCAGATGACGACAACCAAGATGATGGGTGATAGTAGGCGGCAACCTTGTCTTATTCCTTCCTGTCTTCACTTCACTTCAAAGGCATCACTGAGCTGAGTTTTCAATTGTGAATCACTTGGCATGTAGCATCCTCATATAGCATATAGCTGTTGAATGAGGTTAATAAAGCTTTGTGGCAGCATTTGTGAAAAGCAGTTGCTAACCGTGTACTACTAACAATAAATAGTGTTGTAATAGGTAAACTCAGTAATCACATGTCGATTCATTCATTGGACTTTATGTAGGCGTCAGTTACGTTGAACGTCTCCTGGAACCTGTTAAACTGATCGGCTTCGAAAGCATAACGCCTGGAGGCGGAGTGTCACAGCCCGGCGGACAGAAAGCTGACGGTGCATCAGTTTCAGAGCACGAAACTGGGAATACACGAATACCCACCGGTATTGGTTGCGAAGTTGACTAAACTACTTAGACGAGCACTTCACACGCTGGATGAAGACTACCAGGAGCAGCTGCTGGCTGCATAGTTCACCGAAAGTGTCCCAAATCCCATCACCCAGCAGCTACCACTAGTCAACCCAGCCCAACTCATCAATATCAATCAGCTGGTCAAGGTCACCACCAGATAGCCAATGGGTACAGCAGCAGCTGCGGTAGAGTCACCAGAGGTAAATAACTAGAGAAAACAAGTCGATAACCTTCAGGAGGAGGTGTCTACACTTCGAATGAATGTCAACGGACAGAGTAAATACTTTGTGTATGGAAAACTGGGACACTGACTAAGAAACTGTCAAGAAAGGCGAAAAAGAAGCAGTTTTAAACGATATAATATGGGTTCTGTTTCTCCGACTGGACTAGATGTTGTAGGAGCTATACAGTCATAGATAGAGGGGCAATGTATACTATAATGCTAATAAATGATCGGGAGATCGTGTGTCTAGTAGAAATGTGAACTTCAGTCTCACTGATAGATAAGGGTCAGTCAGTCTCAGAACATAATACCATGTGCGCTAACTATTGGTGTCCTGACAGTTGGTGGACATGCAGTAGGAATTGTAGGCTAATCAGATTGTGTGGTGGAGATTGTAAGTCGGAAAATTAGTTTTCCATTCATTTTGACCACACATGTACAACGGACAATCCTAGGTGCTGATTATTTGAGAGCAGTGGGCACAATTATTAATACGAGAAGGGGAATGGTGACTATGAAGTATTGGTAATTCATCAGGCATAGATTGAGGTGAGGTATCAAAAGCAATACACTCAGAGGCCCCAAGCATCTTGAAGTTGGTTAAGAAATATGATATGTTCACGGGAGATGGAGACTCCGACGGATACTATGATAAGGTTCGGCATGAAGTCCCAGTGACAAGTCAAGCAACGAGAAAATATACTACTTATATCTATTCTTATAAGCAGTACCCACTAGTATTACTATTATATTTTCCCCATTAGGTTCCTAGTGGAACATTGGGATTCAGTAGCACGTCACCATTACACTCTCTTCTCTACAGTCTTCAAAACCACGCACCACAACTGCCCACAAACCTTCATTTATTCCTCACATCATCTCCTCCATGTCACTCTCGTCTCCCACACCCAACTCGTGGTTTCCCCTTTGCATTCCACTCGACGGTGTGGCCTAGCCTGACCTGGCCTGACGTGTGATTTCCCCAATCGGCCTTCTCAGTGCATGTCAAATCCAAACCAATCCAATCCATCTCCACTCTCTGCTAGTGCATATTTGTTGGGTGATAGGCTGTTGGTTGATTCGTTGCCTGTCTCCCTGCCAGCCAGCCAGCCAGCCAGCCAGCCAGCCAGCCAGCCAGCCAGCCAGCCAGCCAGCCAGCCAGCCAGCCAGCCAGCCAGCCAGCCAGCCAGCCGTCATGTTCCGGTCGTAATTTTGAATCCAGCACATTGTTTAGTCTCTCCAGGATGATGCAGGTTAATATTTTGCTTGGAGTGTACAGGAGCATGATTCTGCATCAGTTCTTGCAAGGACTTCGGTCTGCTTTCTTTAGGAGTTTGACAATTTAGCCCTTCTTCCATTCAATGGATAGGTATCTTTTTTTCCTTCCTTCCTTCCTTCTTTGCGAACCTTCTGTAGTAGTGGTGTGAGGATGTCCGCTGTTGTTTTCAGTTTGTTTGTTTTCAGTGCTTGTGGTGGAATTCCATCTGTTTGTGCTGACTTTCCCTAATTTCAGCATTTTAATGACATTGTGGACTTCTGGTTTTGTTGGATGGCCTGCGTTCACTTATGGTTCTGCCGTTGTTGCTGGTGGTATTTCGGGACGAGTTGTGGGTGGTGCTGGTTGTCAATTCAAAATTTCTTTGAAGTGGTCAACCTATTGTTTTACTTTGTTTATCATCTTTGCTGAATAACCTTTCTTCACTATCTTCCATTGTTTTCATTGGTGTTGACCTCTTCTCTCCCAGTTACTAACCTGGTTATTTGATATAATGTATTCAGGTCTCTCCTACCAGCCGGCAGCCTGTTCTGCTTCACTTATCAATGGGTCGAAGAAGTGTCTTTTGTCTTTGCGCTCACTCTTCTTAACTTATTTGTCCAGTGTTATATTTTATTGGTTGTACTCAGGTCTTTTTTATTCAGGCATCCTTGCACTGGTTTATCTTCTGCTTCACCATCTTCCTTTTTTCTATCATGAAATATATGTATTCCATTGCCAACTGAACTGCTCGATTTTCGATTATCTCAAGATTCTTGAAGTGAGTTTCTGTTCTAGCAGTTTTGTCAGTATATACGAGTACTTTACCTGAATATAGTCTATAAAAATGAGTGATAATTCTTGTAAACATGGGAAAAAAAGTTTTTTATCCCAATGAAAGAAATTTTTTATTCAAAAAAAAGTATATTAAATAAATACATCTTTTTTTATGATCATAATTCTTAAGATAATAAATCTCACTTACCATCATAGAAAGTATTTGAAGATTGTTTTAATACTGAAGGTTGATTATGCCAAGAATTTTCTAATTCTACATTAGATTGAAGTTCATCTGATACCTCGTTACGTGGTAATGTAATATTATCATAATCATATGAACCATTTAGGGAATTGATGTTACCTTCCTCGACAGATTCACGAATTTTCTCTTTTTTCCAATGAATAAGTGAATTTGGAGATGAAGATTTATTGCCATTTATATAGGCTGTATTTTGAACTGGACCGTAAGTTTCTTTTCATAGTGGAAAAGAAAAGAAAACAGAAAGGAAGGAAGTTAAGGTACCTGCCCATTGATTAGAAGAAGGGTTACCTTGTCAAACTCTCCAAAAAGGGGGCGACCTAAGTCTTTGCAATAACTGGCGCGGAATCACGCTGCTGTCCAACCCAAGCAAAATACTAAGCCACATCATCCTGGAGAAACTAAAGGATGCACTGGATTCAAAACTACTACCGGAACAGGCTGGATTCAGGAAGTACAAATCATGTGCACAACAAATTGCAACCCTTCGCATCATCATAGAACAGAGCATAGAATGGCAATCAGCTCTCTACCTCAACTTCATTGACTTTGAGAATGTTTTTGACAGCGTCGACCGAGAAGTAATTTGGTAGTTGCCTCAATACTATGGAATACCGCAAGCTTTTATCAGCCTCATCCGACAACTATATGAAGATGCCACATGCCAAGTAATTCACAATGGGAAGCTCAGTGATGCTTCTGAAGTGAAGACAGGAGTAAAACAAGGCTGTCTACTATCACCCATGATATTCTTCATTGTAATGGACTGGATCATGCAGCAAACAGTGAGGAGCCGTGAGAAGAGGGGGATACGCTGGACTGGGAAAAGAACCTAGGAGAATTGGATTTCGCCAACGATGACTTCTGTCTTTTGTCTTATGGCACAAACTCAAAAATGTACAGGCGAAAACTGACAAGTTGACAGAAGAGGCAGGACAGCGAAGACCGGACTTCCTTCAAGTGAACGTAGAGAAGACAGATGTGACGAAGATATCTAACCAACACCACCAACAACAACAAGCTCCAATCACCATCAACAGGAGAAACTCAAAGGAAGTAGTCTCTTTCACCCATCTAGGAAGCACTGTCTCAATTACAGTCGGCATTGGCACAGACGAGGACGTCTAAGTCAGGATCGGAAAAGCAAGACAGGTCTTCTTTAACCTGAAACCAGTGTGGAGATCTTCTGCACTCAGTATAAAGCGTGAACAACATACGGATTTTCAACACCAATCCAGTCAAGTCATTGCTGCTATATGGTTCATTCAGAGAGTTGGCATGTCACGAAAAGCATTTTCAACAAACTACAGACATTCATAAACAATGAGTACGCTGGCTCGATACTGAAGATCAGATGGCCACAAAGAATAAGCAACAAGGAACTCTGGCTGGTTGGCAACGAACCAACCAAGAACCTGTCACACAACAAGTATGCAGAAGGAAGTGGAGATGGATTGGGCATGCACTGAGAAGACCATGTGGGGACATCACGCGCCAGGCCAGGCACTCTAGTGGAATCCAGATGGGAAGCGACGAGTTGGGCGTCCGAGGGTCACATGGAGGAGATCGTGAGAGGAGGAAGTGAGAACTTTTGGGAGGGCAGTCGTGGAGCCAGGTTCAAAAGATTTCAGAGAACAGAGCGCATTGAAGATGTGCTACTGAAGCCCTGTGTTCCATTAGAAACCCAAGGGACAAATAATAATAATAGTAATAATCTTACTATAGGGCTTTATAAGAGTATATACTCACGACCTCATCCCGTCAGAGATCAAACTCAGCTAGTTTGGTGCGCGCAGGTAAAGAGTCCCATACTGGGATGAAACAGGTGTCCACTACTTTTAGATTATCAATAGTCCCCCAGATAATGTCAGCCTATGATGTGCAGAACCATTAAAAATGAAATCTCCATTAAAATATAAACAATTTGGTGTTTAAAGTGATGGATCGTGACTTCGAGTCTTAGAGGAAATAACATCATCCACGTGAAGGTGGGTACATCCATCTGACAAATGAGTCACAAATAGGGTGAAACAGGCCTCCTGTATCTCATTACTGGTCACTATTCGTTATTAGTATCATTCTGTGTTGTGTTTAGGTACTGTTGTCAATAAGCTTCTGAGCTTAGTTACTTGTACCTGTACTTAGGTTGATGAAGCATTGGATAGACAATTCTTTAAACCAATAACCTGCAATTCTACATCACCATCTCGGAATATTTGTATAAAATGCTTCTTGATGACTCATGAAGGTCACAATGAACACTCTGATAAGTCACTTTCTAGAAGGAGTAACTATCCACTTATCATTAAGAATGTTTTTACAACAAGGTACTTAGTGGATAGCATTTATGTATTTTCACTAATTGTTATGCAGAATATCATCATTTGTTTTAATTGGTGATGTCTGAAGAATAAATCGTTTATGTGCATGTCTACATACTCTTCTCTGTGGAACAGAGATGATAATTATTTGGAGTTCCTGAAGTTTTAAGGTTTATTCTTCAATGAGTCATCCCCGGGACTAGGCGAATTCAACAGTATTTACTCTTTAAGTTTCCATGATCTTTTGTGAAGGATTCTTTCTGACCTTGAGGGCTATTAGTTAATGGGTAGGCGTGATTTTCTGAAAATTTTATCATATATTAATCTATACTATCGAAAAGATGTCTGATTATTGATTAACCTAACTCATTTCTAGATGGTTGATCTCTCCTAAAAAGTCCATTTATTACACCAATGTCCAAATGTCTATTGATTACTATCTGATTGGAGGAACATGCTTCCATGAACTCTTTTGTAGTTCTTCAACTTGCTGTTAGCGTATTTCCATGGTCTCTTAAACAAAGTTATGGTTGTGTTGAAAATACTAAAATTTGATTGGTTATCTCAGAAGTGGCTAGAGTTGCCTTTTGAATCACTGTAGACTGTGAGACACTAGGCAAGTATATGCAAGATTAATCACATGCAAGGTGAGCAATAAGGCTGAATCGATAGAATCACATGATCAAGACAACTACAACCAGACGAAGTTATATAACAGATATGAAGCATGAATATATTATGCGCACTCACAATAACGCCTAAACAATATCTGGCCTAACGACAAGAGAGTGGAATAACTTCTCTGTCTACACCGATCAGAATTTAAACTTCATAAATTACTAATATTATTATTATTATTGCTACTAATACTACTCACACTACTACCACTACTACTACTCACACTACCACTAATACCACTACTACTACTACTACCACTACTACCACTACTACCACTACTACCACTACTACTACTACTACTACTACTACTACTACTACCACCACCACCACTACTACTACTACTACCACTACTACTACTATGATTATTATTATTAATAGAAGAAGAAGAAAACAAACATGATACAGTAAGGGTACCGAGAACTGTGCCACACAAACTAGCATAGCAACATTTTGATGACTTGAAGCGATGAGAAGTAGATAAGTTAGAAAGAAAATGAATAGGAAAAGCACATTAGAAGGATAGTCTAGTAAGATATATATTCGAAATAAAACATTTATTACTTTTCAATACCAGAAGATAGAAGGAAGCTACTGTATGAATGCCACTAGTTTGCATTCTGAGCCATACCTGATAACGTCTCAAGTCACTGAGTTGCACTATCTCTTGGAACTCATACAGGTAGTCGTGATGCACCAACAGATGCTGAGCCGATACAACTACCTTTCATCCCACGATGCCACGTCATACACTGACCACTCCTCCATTTCTTCCATCCAGTTTCAGTGAACGATATAGAAGCTTTTAAGATGACATGCGTAGCACATATCCAAACCATCGAAGCCGGTGTTTACACATGATTTCACTTGCTGAATGACAATTTTCATCAGGCCCAGGCACATGCTGTCATATATCAGAATTACTTAAATGGTGTTGCCACCGGATAAGAGCAATCCTATGGAGACAACGATGATCAAACACACCGCGTCATCGAACATTATCAGCTCGGGGAGGCCAGTTATAACAGGCGTAGAGCAGAATCCGACCTTTTACTGTAAGACTATCGTTGCGAGGTTGCCGAAGATGACCTAGGTTGGAGTGTGATACGTGATATGTGGTTGAAAATCTCAATACTCACACTTCCACTAGCATTCACACAACCAATCAGATATACAAACTTTTGGATACTTCCAACGGATAGTCACCAAGGGTGAACGCAGGCACAGGCTTCTACCTGTCTTATACTTCAGTGGTACAAAGCATATACAATACTTACGAACACTAAAAGCAACTGATTAAGTGCGGTTTGAATAGCCTGTGCGTTGTTGCACAGTAAGACGATGTCGTCAGGATACTCAAGGTCAGACAGTCGTGGAGACATCGGGCAATCCTGCCTAACCCTACTACTGGTTTGGAACAACGTAGACATATGACTGTATGTCTTCACTCTACTTGAGGTGTTAATATATGGGTCTTTGAAGATGTTAATAGATTTCTTAGGCTAACCCCAGTCTAAAAGATATTTCCAGAGTACAGCTCTGTCCAACGAAACTAAGGGAGCCCTAATGTCAAGAAACACAACATTTGTTGGCGTGCAATACTTCTGGCGATGTTCAAGCATCTGATGGAGGGTAAGCGCATGATCAATGCATCCACAATCTGAGCATAACCTACCCCACTCTTTGTGAATCATTTCCTCACATGTTTTTACAAAGTCTGCGAAGTATGATTGGAGTCAATATTTTCGACGCTACTGGTAACAGACTAACACCCCGATGATTGTCATATACATTACATAGACCCTTTTTAAAGATAAGCACAACAATGGCTTCATTCTAAAGTGATGGAACGCTGTCAGTCTGCCATACCTTCTCATACAATCTAATCACTTCTCTGACTACAGTCGTTCCTCCATCCTTAAAAAGAGCCAAAAGTAGGTTGTTTGGGCTGGGGAAAAACAAAAAAACAAGAACATACTCTCCACCTGAAACTGTATAGCTAACTTCATCGATTATTTGAATAACGTTCTGTCGAAAATTCACACCCACTGCGCGATTCGTTCACATCACATATCGATAATATGAGGAATGACTCTGAGAATCATCCTAACAACTAGTGAAATAATCAATAAAGTTTATTGATTTCTCCTTCAAAGTTAGTTTTAGGATAAAATTAAGGAACCAAACTGTCCTTATTAGAATGGTTACTAAAGCTAACCTCTCACAAGAATAACTGGCAAAGTTCACCTGGGTAATCACTGAAATAACCAATTGGATTTCTTTATTCCAAATGGAATTAGCACCTTTTCTATAAATCCATATATAAACCAATTTGTTTACTTCAACAGTAGTTCCTAGACTGACCCAAACAGTGAGGCTTGATTAATGTCTACGCCTAAGGGGGAGAATAAAACGTCTACTTAAATATCTGAAATACAATGATGGAAATATAAGTTGATAACAAATTCGACCTTGAATATGATTGACAAGGTCATATATGTGTAGACAGAGAACAGGTTAAAACTGTACGTATATTTAGACTGGACAAAAACTTCGCTTTAGATATGGGAAGATAATTTTATGAAATAAATTAGGATGAATCAGCGATACTGGGTTTTTGTATATACACCATGGCAGTACATGATAACGGTTATCCTTACGTCTTCAAATTCAGGGGAATGAATGACTCAAAACCAATAGAGAAAGACCTATTCTATTATTGTCTGTACTAAACTAGTCATCGGCTGACTGACTAACTAAATTAAAAATATATCATATAGAAAAAGGAAAAAAGGAAACAAGTGGTCTCATCAGGAACCCATATAGCTATCAACAAAACACTGTGTAAAACACATCAAACATATACAGAATAAGAAGAAAGAGAGTAGAGAAAAGTAGACAATAATAGTAATGAACATATGACTCATCTCTACTGTTTGTATAGATGTACCCAACTAAGGTTTAAGACAAAGCTAACCAATTGAGATATCTGTAAAATGGCTCACTTCAATGTATATTCGCCCACGTTCTTTTCCGATGTGTAGAACAATGGAAAGATTGAAGAGAAAAACGTCAGACTTAAACATGTGCACTATTTTTATCACAAAGACAAAGCAAAAGAGAGTAAAATATATATACTAAAAATAAACGATTACTAAGCTTAATATAACATCAGAGCACAAGGTCAAAAAAATACGAAGTAACTATGGTTACTGTCTGATAAGTTTACAGTATGCTTTTAAAATTTCTACAAGGTTAAGGTATATTTGAACTATGACATCCAGATAGTGATTACATGTTGAACGTCGAATTTCAATGTTTGACTGTTAATTGTAGTCCAGATAACCTTCACGTATTTCAACCTCCTGCTTTGAATAAGTACTACCGTAGAAGTTGTGAATGTACTTCTAATAACTCAGAAGTTTTGAATACAAATCGAATTGTACCATTCAAAAAACTGAGTTTATTTGAAGCCTTAATTGAAGTAAACAGTATCACCATCAACATCATCAGGTATATTAACATAGGACCAGGCATTACTGCGTAACAGTCCGAGTTGCCGCCAAACCTCATGTCACTACATCAAGTAAAAATGCAGTGAAGTGGAAGATGAAGGTAAGAAAACTCAGTCAAAACATATATGAAGTACGAAAAGAGAGAAAGAAAGAATGAGAAAGTGATGAGAATCGGCATGTATTATGATGAGGATAATGTGTGTGGGGATACATCTGCGCTACTGACATTAGTTCTGAGCCATATGATCACCTAGAGCCTCCAACCACTGGTTCCTCTTGTCCCACCCACAGGCCCCAACCACTTAGTCTGCATCGCCCCACATGGCTCAAACCAACAGTCGGAGACTTCATGCATTGGTGCCATGTTTTAGTCTGGCCACCTCGAGCCTTTTTCCAGCCTGCACCTACTTCCACCAACATTGTGTGACGAGGCAATCGGTGACTAGGCATACATAGTACGTGTCCCAACCAGCCATCTCAGTCGATGAAGGTTCATAACCTCGTCAACTGATTTACCTCTACTCCCTAAAACTCTATACCTGACTTCTGCATTACTCCATGTAGTGTGGTGACACCATGGAATACGGTCTATACTATGAAGGCAACGGTGGTCAAACACTTGTAGCCTTCTCATGTCTTCCACCCTCAATGGCCGTGTTTCACAGCCATACAGTACAGTACACACCATATTTAATAGACAATCGGATATCACAGCAGCGCCATAGGTGGTGTAAATTGGCAAGAGCCAATCGAGTCTTTTGTATCCGTGTAGAGATTTCATCGGCAACTGACCCACCGGAGCTGATCCTACTTCTCAGGTAAGTGAAGTAGTCAACACGCTCAACCACTTCACTCTCTATTGTTAGCCGTGGTACAGCTGAAGACCAATCCTGGAGCAACAATTTACATTTAGTTGGTGACAACCGCATCTCAAACATTCTCAACTTGACACTTAAAGTGTTTAGAAGACTCTGTATCTTGTCAGCGTCTTCACTTAAGAGGACTATACTGTATACTGAATGTTAAGTAGTACAAAAACTTACCATCAACATTGATTGTCGATAGTTCTGGTGTCCTGTTGAAAAAATTTGTTGAATTAGCAATTATAGACGAATGTAAATTTGTATTTTGAAGTTGATTTGTTGAACAATGACATGTATGTTGTAAAGATGGAGTAAAATAATCGCCTTTTTTGATAATTTTATTCTTTTGCCTTGGATAATATGAACAATAATGAGTAGTAGTGGGTTTTGTTAGACTATTCACATAATGAGTATCTGATAATCTTGAACTCTCTGAAGAATTCAATGATCTGGGATTAATTATACTTGATTTCGGTAAAATAGGATCATTGTTGATTGAATTATCATGATTCAGAGTGTTGTTACTATCAAGAAAGTGAAGAAAATGATGACACCATCAAGTAGAATTAGAACTCAGTTATTATGCAAAAAGATAACTTGAATAATGCTAATAACAAAGATATTTATAGAATAAGATGAATTGATTTCATTTCATGGCCTTTCATCAGCTGCAAACATTCTACAGTTGTAACGAAGCATTACTAGTAATAATGATACAACATACTTTAAATATGTAGGAATGAAAGAATATTCGAAATCCAGGATTAACAACCAGGTGAGTGAGTGAGTGAGTGAGTTGCAGGGTGAGTAAGTGAGTCGAAGACATACAAGATTACCAATTAGAGACCACAGTCGAAATCAATAACAATTTATAGCTGATGAGATGGAGGAGTTTGGAGGTGTGGGAATCAAGTGTGAGGAATGGATGGCGTACAACAAACAGACATGAGTGTAGAAGGAGAGGTTGTTAAAGAGCCAATGGGTTGCGTAATCACATAGAAAGCTGGAAAATCGTTAAGTGATTAATAGTCAGTAAGTAATTAATGAAGAGATGATGAAGTCAAAAGAAAAGGGTAGACTATACACCTAAATATGCAGAAAACCATACACATTTACCAAGGTAAAGAAAGGTTAATTACAGTCTCTTTCTGGGTACATAAGTCAGGTTGAAAATTTTTGATAGTGACAGCTTCCGAAAACCTTGTTGATTATCCTGAAGGACTGAGAAACATATATTTGATGTCCTGTCTCTATCAGATGCCTGGCGATTGCACTTTTAAAGACCTTTCTACCATTAAAACACATATTTCTTGGTGTATGCTCATAAAATCGAGTAGACTCTCTGCTTTTGGTCCGTTCTATGTATTTGCTGCCACAAGCAAAAGTGAATTGATATACGCAATTGGAGGCGATGTGAGATGGGTATTTGTCTAGTTTCGACTGTGTTATTTAACATAATGTATTGTAAACTGAGATCAGTCTGACAGCAGGGAAGCTCTTTCGCGGTTCAGCTTTTATTCTTCTGTTTACTATTTAGGGTGTCTCATCACCTTTGAATACTTGGCGAAGGAAACAGGCTTCTTATCAACAGTTGGGTGTTTTGATCTCTCAATATATTCTTTTGAATTCTTCATGCTGAATTTCATCAGAGCCTTTTCAATGATATTGAATTCCTTTTCTTATTTATCTTCTGAGCAAAATATTCTAATTCTAGTGAACAGCGTCCTGATTAAACCACGCTTAAAGCTGACAGAACAGAAACTACTGTAGTGAAGGTACTGACCAATCCACGTGTCTTTCATGTGGATAGTTTTCTCAACTGTAACTCGTCTTATACTCATAATCTTTTACTTTGCTTTTCATGTAATTGTGCAACCCATTGGCTCTTTAACAACCTCTCCTTCTACACTCATGTCTGTTTGTTGTACGCCATCCATTCATCACACCTGATTCCCGCACCTCCAAATTCTTCCATCTCATCAGCTATATATAAATTGTTATTGATGTCGACTGTGGTTTTTAATTGGTAATCTTGTGTGTCTTCGACTCACTCACTCATTCACCCACTCACTCACTCTGGAGGCTTAACTGTCGAGCTGTTCAAGTTACAATTGTCTCTATGTAACACTGAATTATGTAGGCAAATTGGTCATCAGAAGGTAACCAACCATCCATGAAGTTGTTTTAAGTCCAAGAAAGCTATTGTACATATGTAGAAATATTGGTATTTTCGTGTTTTCCTATTCAACAAGAAGAACAGTAGTAGCAGAATTAGTATGGATCAGTTTTTTATGTAGATTCTCTTCAGCTGTTTACAATAAGTAAGTGTTAAGTAAGCGTAACAAAAGGTTCACAGGTTTTCAGTATGCTTTATTCACTTTATGTTTGGTAATTAAACCCTTGGAGATACTTCAGAATCAAATTCTCCGGGATTTATTCGGTAATGTGAACAAGAACCCTTCTCTCTGTCCTTTCGATGTATACGCTTTGGCATATATATTTCATGAAAGGTGAAAATATGATTGATGCCCTCTTGACCAAGTCTAAAACGTGCCTGATTTTCTAGAGTTTGTTATTCTAGACCTTTACTTAGGCGTCGGATAACTATGAACCCTTGAATTTTCGACACAATATTAGTTAAGCTAATTACCCTATAGTTGTCAAAGGAAAATTTCTGTTCTTTTTTATGAACTGGAATGATAAGCGAAATAGGTCAGTTTGATAGGATAACTTCTGATTCTCATACATTACTTAGTACCACCTTTACTCTAATCAACAGCTTTCTACCTTCAACCTTGAAAACTTCAGATGGAATACTGTCATATCCTTCTAATTTGCATTTTTTCAGATTTGATGCAACTTTCCAAACCTGAAGAAAAGTCTGAACTACCAACATGTACGTCACATTCAATTTTAGCCTGGATGTTGGGCAACTGAATCGTTGCAAAGGGTCAGTTGAACTGTACTTCAGAGTGTTTTGCTCAACATTCTAGTTACCTTTCTTGGGAGGTCTTCAGCGTTTCACCTTTTTCATTGGTAATTTAACTGATCATCGTCTTTTCTTGCCGGTATCCTTAGTAAGCGTAAATAGATGCTGAGCGTTACTTACTACTGATGTCTTCTTCATCTCCCTGGCGTTCACCACTTTTGGTGAACTTATGTTTGAGTTACTTTCGTTCTTCAAAGTGGTCAGAGCCAGGTGGAACCGTTCTTCTCGTATCAGTCAATTTGGATGACGTCGCGGAAATCTAATGACGTTTGTTCCACTTTAGGTGTAAGTTGCCAACTGTCTTTACGGCTTTTTCTACATCAGACGTAGTATCACATCAGGTCTCCTGAGGATGAACATTGCTGTTACGGTTAGATAATCTCCTAGCTAACTCCTCTCTAGATGCATACTCTGCGTACTCATCTACTAATCGAGCGCTAATAAGCCCCACTACCTCCTGTTTCCAGCAGCCAGTAAGTCGAAGACAAACACGAGTCTGTACTAGCGCGTGGTCAGAGTCAAAACTGGTACTCTAGAAACAACGACTACCCTCCATCGATCCTGTCCGACAGTGTGACGCGTATGTGTCCATCGTTGATTTGATATCGGCGGACGCCATGTGAGATAATCTCTCTCCTTATGACTAAAGTTAGTGCTGGCCAGAAATAAACGATAGTTAGTGCAAAGTTCCAACAGACGATTACTGTTGTCGCTTCATTGACATAGGATTCTTCCGGGATGCCTTTTCGATTGGCTCAACCTCCCTTTTTGAGCGTTAAAGTCACCTGCCATTATGACTATATCTAAAAGTTTTGTTTTCTGTAGCAAAGTTGACGGTTTCTCATAGAATTCATAACTTGCATCATCCGAACTGCAGTTGGTTGGTGCGTTGGCGCAGGTAACGAATAGGCCTCACGTAGTCTCACAATCCTTGATAGTCCTTAAAGATCCATTCAGTCGAATACCACATAGTCGGCAGTTTACTAGAATCCAGCCGAGAAGCCTACTTTCTTCCCTACAACTCAAAGCTATGCCTATACTAGTGGGCTCATGGGAGCTAGCCACTGGGTCTCTGGATACTGGTAAGGTGAATTTTGAAGATTCACTGCAATAGCCATGTGAGGTTGAATCAGTAACCACACTCGTGTCCTGTATACATCTCATAGAGACAACGCATATGCATGGCTATATATTTTGGAGTTTCGTCAAGCGATGCTTGCTGTCCGATTTGGCATAGAGTTTGGATGTTGAAAGCTCCCACATGAAATCGACAGCAGGATCTTAAGAGACAAGGGACGAGGTATCAATGGCTTTGATCGTTAGCAATGGTTGTAGATTGAGAGGTTCGGTAATTCGTAAGAGATTCAACGGTAGTGTCAGAAGGAAAAGGCGAAGGAGGAGATAGAACTGAAAACGATAGGCTGTGTTTGATTATGTCTCGCTTAATAATGGAAGCGTGCGGGCATTTGACAGTTGCTTGCTGCCACACCGTGAAAAGCTATTTCTTCGTAAGGTACCTGGGAGAAAAAATTTGCGTGACTGCAGAGCCCTTTCGATATCTGTTTGGGGCCTGTCACACACGGTGTCTTACGGGGTGGTGTTTTGAGATTTGGTTGTTGTAACGCCGGATAGGGAGAACCCATATCGCAGACTCCGGAAGTCCGCAGGGCACCAGGAGTGTGCTATTTTTGTGGCTGACTTCTTCTAACCCTCCTTTTAAAGGGGATGCATCATCAGCATTGCGAGTGCTCGTCATCCGAGGAAAAAATTCTACTACTGTCAAACTCCATCGAGCCAGAGGTATGACTTCGCTCTAAGACCTATATCATAGTGTTTTAATTTACATTACAACGGTAACTGCTTTTCGTAAATTACTGTTTGAACAGTATTGAAGTCAGGTGAAGGGTACCAGACAAGACAAGGAAGTCGACTGATGAGGTTATGAAGCTTTATCAACTGAGATAACTTAGATATGTACTGCGCATGTAAGCCACCGTCTGCTTCGACGTACCGTGCTAATGGAAGTTGTATGAGGGTGGAAGAGTGTCCAGGGTGGCCAGACTTGAAAGTCTCTTGCAGGAAAGCCTACTTAACTTTAATCTGCAAGGTCGTGGAGACTTCAGTAAGATGTCTGTCATAAGCATCTACCAATGGAAGCAGGGTCACTCAACGAACGGGGATGTGTTGAAGCCTGATAGTTGTCTTGGGACGTTCATAGACCTGAAGATCTACCTGAAACTTGAAGTTGAGCAGAAAATTGGAGTAAAACCTCACATCTTTATTCTTATGACTGCCCTTCATCAAGTTTTCTCAACTAATGTTGTTGTTGTTGTTCAAGCTCAATATTTTTAAATAAATGGTTGAAAATGATATTATCGAATCCAATAGATCCATACATACACTTACCTTACTATTCTCAACAGTTCATCTAATTGATCACTACTCAGTAGAATGACTTGATTATGATTATCATGTCTAGTTGAAATGACATCTAATGTAGATGAATTGATGATTGATCTGTTCAGATCATGTTGATGTATCTTTGATGGATCATCAGTACTAGAAGTTTGTATTGATTTTTTGTCGATAAAATTCACACTTTCATGATTATTCTCAGACATGGAATGTATTTTATTCACTGTAGTTGTCTCTTTCTCAGAAATCTGTTTAGAAATATTCGTTAAAGAGGTGGCTAACATAGCTAATTGTTCTAGATTAGTACAGTCTAAATTATGATCATTATCCGGTTGAGTAAATGAATTTTCATCGTTAGTTGAATTCTGATAATTGTTGTTTACAGCTAGAGAAGTAAATAACAAGGACAAAATACTCTAAGAAAAGTAGTCATTGATGTAATAAAATGTTTTATCAAGTAAATACTTTTTCATCTTACTCTAATCTACAACGTAATCAACATAGGACCAGGACGGTTCACACTGCCAGTTCTCAAATCATTCATTATATACTAGGCAACAAACAAATTAGGTTAAAAATACAAAAGGAAAGAGAAATCTGTCCTAGGTACACAAAAGCAGTAAGAGAGAAGGAGGAAGATTGAGAAAATGGTGAATTCAATAAAGCGGTTTAAAGTGAAGATAAAGTGTGGATACTTCTCCGTCAATGACATCGATTCCCGAGTTAATTCTTAGGGTACCCCAGCAACTAATGAGACAGTCAATTACATTCCCTTATTTTATGGAAATTTAATTACGAAAGAAGAGAAACAGAGGAAACGATGGGCCGACCACTTCAAGAAGCTCTTGAATCGACCACCACTACCACCTGCACTTCGTCCAGAAATACCACCTGCAGCCGCTGAACTACAAGTGAACATAAATCCTCCAACAAAAGTGGAAGTCCTGAAAGCCATAAAGCTACTGAAATGCGGGAAAGCAGCAGGACCAGATGGAATACCGCCAGAAGCACTGAGAACAGACGCAGAGACAGCAGCAGAGATGCTCACACCACTATTGCAGAAGGTGTGGAAGGAAGAGAAGGTACCTGACGATTGGAAGAAGGATTACCTCGTCAAACTGCCTAAGAAGGGAGACCTCAGTGTTTGCAAGAACTGGCGAGGAATCACTCTTCTATCCACCCCAAGCAAAATATTAAGCCGCATCATCCTAGAGAGGCTAAAGGATGCACTGGATTTAAAATTACGACCAGAACAGGCAGGCTTCAGGAAGTACAAATCATGTGCGGACCAAATTGCAACGCTTCGCATCATCATAGAACAGAGTATAGAATGGCAGTCAACTCTACACCTCAACTTCATCGACTTTGAGAAGGCCTTTGACACCGTCGACCGAGAAGTAATTTGGAAACTGCTTCATTACTACGGAGTACCGCCAACCCTTCTCCGCCTCATTCAACAACTATATGAAGACACCACATGCCAAGTAATTCACAATGGGAAGCTCAACTCAGTGATGCTTTTGAAGTGAAGACAGGAGTGAAACAAGGTTGCCTACTATCCCCCATGGTATTCCTTATTGTGGTGGACTGGATCATGCAGCAAACAGTGGGGAGCTGTGAGAAGAGGGGGATACGCTGGCTGGACTGCGGAAAAGAACCTAGAAGACTTGGATTTCGCCGATGACCTGTGCCTGATGTCACACAAACTTGAAGATCTACAGGCGAAAACTAACAAGTTGACAGAAGAGGCAAGACAGCGAAGACGGGACCTCAAGTGAATATAGAGAAGACAGAGGTGATGAAGATACCGCGCCACCACCACCACCAACAACAACAAACTCCAATCACCATGAACGGGAGAAACTTAAAGGAAGTAACCTCCTTCACCTACACCTATCTAAGAAGCACTGTTTCAACTACAGGCAACACAGGCACAGACGAGGATGTCAAAGCCAGAATCGAAAAAGCAAGACAGGCCTTCATTAGCCTGAAACCAGTGTGGAGATCTTCTGCACTCAGCATGTGGAACAAGATCCGGATTTTCAACACTAAGTCAGTCAAGTCAGTGCTTCTGTATGATGGTTGAGAGACTTGGCGCGTCACGAAAGGGATTTCCAATAAACTACAGACATTCATCAACAACTGCTTACGCTGGCTCGCTACTGAAGATCAGATGGATTGCCAGAAAGAATAAGCAACAAGGAGCTCTGGGAACGAACCAACCAAGAACCTATCGCTCAACAAATATGTAGGAGGAAGTGGAGATGGATTGGACATACACTGAGAAGGCCGACTGGGGACATCAAGCGTCAGGCCCTCGGGTGGAATCCCCATGGGAAGCGACGAGTTGGACGTCCAAGGGTGACATGGAGAAGGTCGTGCGAGGAGGAAATGATAGCTTGTGGGCTGTCGTGGAACCAGGTTCAAAAGATCTCAGAGAGCAGAGGTCACTGGAGGCGTGCTACTGAAGCCCTATGTTCCACTAGGAACCCAAGGGACTAATAAATATATATAATAATAATTTTATGGAAAAGTACTTAACCAGGCGAAATATAGAAGCCTGACTGATCTATTCGGCAGTTGCTAGGATGGCCTTTAAAGTCGCCCTTGACTGCTTCCCTTATCTCATAGTCTCCAACCGACTATTCTGCATCTCCCTATAAGGCTCAAACTAACAGTTAAGGACTACATACAATAATGCTATGTCTTAGCCTGGTCACCCCCAACATGAAACTACTTCAGCTAACATTGCATGACCAGGCAGATGGTGATTAAGGATGTGTGACACATGTCCTAGCCATCTCAGTCGATTAACGTTCAGAATCTTATCAACTGAATCTTCTCTTCTCCCTAAATCTCTAGACCTGACGTCTACTTTACTGAAGTGTTGACATAAGGACACATGGTCTACGCTACAATAGCAATGGCAATCGAACTCCTGAAGTCTTCTTATGTCATCTACCTTTAATGGTCATTTTCACAGCTATACAGTAGAACAGAGAAAACTATAGTGCACCAAAGTGTACAGCCGAACAGCCTAGTCAAGAAAAATGATAAACATTTAGGAAAAATTGAACTTAGAACAGTGAGTGATCTGTTCACAAGACACATTCACAAATCTTCAATCACGCCTAACTTCTGGCCACATATGACATATGATCATGATTAACTGTTTTTACTTTTCAGACAGATTACACGCATATAAAGTTCATTACTATCAGTTTATGACATGATGGTTAATCAGTCGATTAAGTTTTACCATAGACTCCCTTGTAGAAGTCTACCTTTCGTCATCATATATAAATCCTTGATAGATTTAGAATACGTAGTTGACGTAGTCCTTTTCGATGAATACCCTGATAAGACATAGAGTCTTATGGACACCTAGAATGGCGATTTTAGAATGCTAGGGATGCGTTCCTCGCCACCGAAATGCAAAGTGTTGTTCCAGGACTGGTCTTCAACAATGCCCCGGCAAACAATAAGGATTGAAGTGGTTGATTGTGTTGAACACTTCGCATATCTGGGAAGTCGGATCAGCCCTGGTGGCTCCGCTGGGTTACAAAAGGCTTGTCTGGTTTTTGACGACTTACACCATGTGTGGCATCACCGTAATATCCTAATGTCTACTTGGGTTGAGTGTACTGTACTGTAGTCCGGTCTGTTCTACTACATGGCTGTAAAACATCGCCATTAAAGGTAGAAGTAATGAGAAGGATTCAGTTGTACAACCACCTTTGCTTTCATAACATAAACCGTGTATCGAGGAGTATTCAGGTGATTAATGCTACATAAGTCAGTTGAAGAGTTACTTGATGGGGTTGTTGATGTTCATCGACGGAAATGGCTGGAACATGTGTTATGTATGCCTAACCCTCGTATGCCTTGTTACACAATGTTGGCCAAAGTAGGTTCAGGCTAGAAAAGGGTTCGAGGTGGACAGACTAAAACATGGCATCAATGCTTGAAGGCCTTGACGTTTGGTTTCAGCCATGTGGGGCGATGCAGACTAGGTGGTTGGGGTCCGTGGGACAAGAGGAACCAATAGCTGGAGACTCTAGGTGATATGGCTCAGAACCGATGTCAGTGGCGAAGTGTATAGATACATTATCCTCATCTTAGTAGCCATATTCAATCTGTTTTCGATCAGTTATTCTTTTCTCCTTTATCTCTCATTTTACTGCCTTTTTACTTGATGCGGTGATATGACGTGTGACAACTTGGACCATTGTGCAGTAATGCTTGACCTTATATTGGTATTGATGACGGTGATAATAGTAACTAGAGACTAAAATTGGCAAATTTTTCACTGGCCTCAATAACTTTAACTTGATTAGTTGTTATTTACAAATTAATGTTTCATGATGCATATTTTGTTACAAATTTTGTACTGATGGAGGATTTTGGAAGTTCAAGGTTTGTCAGTTTCAAAATATTCAATTAGTTTTATGAATCAAGGCTCTCTTGAAACATTATGAATTTCTATGACAGTCATTAGAATTATTCTGTATGCAAGTAACACACTGGTCAAAAATGAAATGGTAACTTATGTTATAGTATAAGCCGTCTTCAGTAGACGGCTAGACAGTTTTCAGTCAGTGAGTTTGTAGGCACAGATTGGTTCTTATAATATCGTTCAGTTGAACATCACACAGGTAACTGTCAGCTGAGATCCAGTAGAGCATTGCACTTACCTCCTTAGCAGTTAATGCTATGCACACATATGCAAAAGAGCTAGAACTAGCCAGAAACTTGAATATTACTGATGCTAAGTGAATAACCGCACTTCGGTCCCGCATTTGCTCACAAACACAGTACACATTCATTATCTGAGATGCCAGATTTTTGGTCATTCAAAAATGTTGACCAATTTGGCGTTGGTTAAGGACATTGAAAACTCCAGTATGTAGTTTTGAATGCTTTTTCAGTAGATCAGGGATGTTCTATGAACTCGAAATGTTATCAAGAGCTGTAGACCTAGATGAAATTAAAAATGATCTAGGAATATTGATCGAGTGACGTCAGAAATATTAGAAAGTACACATATGGAAGGTTGATTATGATCTGATGTAAATTGAATGCTAATAGAGTTGTGATGGTAGCTGAAACTTCCTGGATGCCCATACTATGAAAGCCTAGTTTTTATTGGCGTACCTGAAAAGGAAAGGTTAATTTGTTACCGCAGAACCTAAGGGACATCTGCTTGAGGCCAATTACACACAATCTTTCTCAAAGTTTACAGCTCGAGCTAGATATGATCTTTTCTAACACCCTCTTCCTACAGAGAAGGTGACATAGACGTAGTACTGCTGGTATTCCATGGGAAACACCTAACTTCCGTCATACCCTCGTCCAGCTGACAGGATCAATTCAGCATCTCACCTTCATCATAGCACGGCATGTTATACTATAACAGTTACTAATTTTTTCCTTTATGACTATCCAAATGATGATTCTGGTGTGATAGGCCGTCGAGGGAACAGAAGTTCCACCAGCATAGATCTGTGGGTCATCGGGATATGGAAGTAGGACAGTAACCTCAAGGTACCAGCTACCAATCAGGGTGTCAGTTGACAGATAAGTTATTTACAAACACTGGTAATTGGTTTCTCCCTTCAAATAATGACAGTTAAATAAGCGTCTAGCTTATCTATGTTATTCATTAACCATTTCGTTCACAAGTTTAAATTGGAGAAAAAAAATGAATAGCTGATTAGTGTTACAGTAGAAAGAGTCAATCCTCCTGAATGTGATCAACTAGACTAAACTGGACCATGTAACAGACAACGGTGAGGAGTTGTGAGAAGATGACCATACGCTGGCTGGATAGATGAAAATACCCCAGAAGAACATTTGGATTTCACCGATGATGATTTATGTCTAATGTCTTGTCGCACAAACTTGGAGATCTACAGGCGAAAACTAACAAGTTGGCGGGAGAGGCAGACATCGAAGGAAGACGTGACCTCCATCAGGTGAGCGCGGAGAAGACAGAGGTGATAGAGTTACCTAACCAGCAGCAGCAGCAGCAGCAGCAACAACAACAAGCACCAATCATAAATCATCATGAGGGGGAGAAATCTAGAGGAAGTAGTATCTTTCACATACCTACCTACCTATCTAAGCAGCATCGTATCAACTACAGGCATCAGCACAGGCACAGATGACGATGTCAATGCAGCCGGCATTGGAAAGACACCAAGACAGGCTTTCCTTCATTAATCTGAAGTAATCAGTGTGCAGAACTACTGCTATGCAATGCAATGCACTGCACTTGTCTCTTTGGTTCCTAGTGGAACACTGGGTTTTATTAGCAAGTCACCATTTTACTCTCTTCTCTACAAACTTTTCAACCTGGCTACACCACTCCCCATAAGCTTTCATCTCTTCCTCACGCCATCTCCTCCATGTCACATTGTGATGCGCAACTTGTCCTTTCCCCTTTGGTTGGTTCGTTGCCAGTCGGACATCCAGCCAGAGTTCCACCCTGCTTATTCTTATTATTTTGGCCACCTTTCTGCCCATCTGATCTGATCTTCAGTACGGAGTCAGTGTAGGCAGCAATTGTTCATGTGATGCATGTCTGCAGTTTGTTGGAAATGCTTTACGTAACACATGCCAACTCTCTCAACCATCACATAGAGAAGCACCTAATTACTTGAGTGAATTAGTGTTGAAAATCCGGATGTTGTTCACACTCTATGCTGAGTGCAGTGCAGTGTAGTGCAGTGCATTGCATTGCATAGCAGTAGTTCTGCACACTGATTACTTCAGATTAATGAAGGAAAGCCTGTCTTGGTGTCTTTCCAATGCCGGCTGCATTGACATCGTCATCTGTGCCTGTGCTGATGCCTGTAGTTGATACGATGCTGCTTAGATAGGTAGGTAGGTATGTGAAAGATACTACTTCCTCTAGATTTCTCCCCTCATGATGATTTATGATTGGTGCTTGTTGTTGTTGCTGCTGCTGCTGCTGCTGCTGGTTAGGTAACTCTATCACCTCTGTCTTCTCCGCGCTCACCTGATGGAGGTCACGTCTTCCTTCGATGTCTGCCTCTCCCGCCAACTTGTTAGTTTTCGCCTGTAGATCTCCAAGTTTGTGCGACAAGACATTAGACATAAATCATCATCGGTGAAATCCAAATGTTCTTCTGGGGTATTTTCATCTATCCAGCCAGCGTATGGTCATCTTCTCACAACTCCTCACCGTTGTCTGTTACATGGTCCAGTTTAGTCTAGTTGACCACAATCAGGAAGATGATGAGTGATAGCAGACAGCAACCTTTTCTTACTCCTTTTTGCCTTCGCTTCACTTCGAAGGCATCACTGAGCTGAGTTTTCAATTATGAATCACTTAACAAGTAGCATCCTCATATAGATGTTGAATGAAGTTGATACAGGATTGTGGCACTAAAACCGTAGTGTTGAAGCAGCTGCCCGCCAAATCACTTCTCGTTCCCTTTTTAATTACTAGTTAAGAAAATTAAATAAACGATGAAAACGAAGCGCTATGTATCGTGAATCACTCTGAAAAACAGAATGAATGAGGTTACGTCATAAAAGAACTAAAACCTAATCAGAATTATTGTAGAGATCAGTTATAACTTGAGTAAATTAACTATCCTGTTTAAGGAAAAATTGCTCATACTCACCAGTAACTGTGTTTACATCATCATCATCATGATCATAATCACCATCATTTTTACTAGTTGGAAGATCACTACTTGTCTGCTTGTTAACGTGTAAGATACTCCTTGAATCGCTGTGGAGATGTGTCTACACAAAGGAAATAGTTAGAGAAATCAGTAGGCGAGACAGATTAAAAACACAAACTTTTACAAAAATTTTCGTTACTACAAATAATTGTGATAAAACTAGCCACCTTTTTGAAATATACTGCACAATAAAGGTTAAGCAGTTAAATTGGGAATATGCTGAGTCATTGAAGTGATTCAGTTCTCGGGGGTGTTTGAATTTGGAGGTACGTTTGTGGTATTCATCATGAGTTGATATCAGTTGGTAAACCACAAAAGTTCTGGTAGTATGTGACTTCTTAGCAGTGCACACCATTGATCCTGTTGAAGCCAGTACGTTCCCATTGAGCCACCGGACGTAATGACTGTCTCATTCTCGCGCATTGTCACTGCTTCTCCAAATGATGTCAGAAAACTAATGTTGAATACCAACTAGAAATCCTAACGAGAAGTCATGACTGTTGGAGTAAATCAAGTGGGATGTGATGACGGATACTCAGCTATGGTATCGGATGAGGGTCAAGCTAACTCGCAAGTTGGCAGAAGTAAGGAAATGTGGACCATGGGATTCCGACCCATTCACTCAATGGTAACGTGATCAACAAAATACCTGTAAGTTCTCGGTCCAACTCCTAGTGAGGTCGTGAGTAAGCTTAATCTACTGATAATAGGTGCTTGGAGGCATTCTAAAGGATGCCATCGATAAGGGTTCTTAGGAAATCATCGGTTAATACAAAGTTGTTACTACCATGAAACTAAGGTAGAAGCAGGTCAGACAGATAGACTTTCAGATAAGCTTAGCAATAAAATGGATGTTACAACGCGACTTTTTAAGCTGCTATAACTTTGCTTCAGATCGGAATGAACTTGTGGTTCAAAGGACAATAGATTTAGTCCAAATGTCATCTAGATAAAAGTGGATCATCCTGTTGACATAATACGACAATAAAGATTGAGTATAATGAAAATGCATAGAAGTACTTAAAGCATATTATGAACGGTAGTCAATTACATCAGTCTTAAATTCTACTTGTAACCCTCAAGGAACTAAGGATAAAGATCATACTTCTTCATGTTCATATACCCAGTAGATATGATGAGTAGACACAAGATGTTTCTTCAATCGATGAATTTTTCGAGGATACTTGATTCGAAGGGTAGTACTCGTCATGGATCGACATTAGCTGATAAACCATGCATGGCAATCTGTGATGGAATCGATTAGTCATTCCAAATTACTAATTCAATTACTGGCTAATGCTCATTAGCAATATACTTCTAGATGGATTTCTCGAAGTTTCAATAAGGGGCAACTAATAGCTTGCCAATTGCATTGAATCATGGCTATGTTATATCCCAAATTGATAGCAATAGGGAAACTGGATTCTGACTGCATGGTAAAGTATTTGCCAAGAGAGTTAATGGTCTTCGATTTGAACCCTGGCGGGGCTGTAGGTGCAAACCAATGGAAAGTCCTAAACCAAAACGAAATAGAGATGTCTAGTAATTCCACTTTTTCAGTGTTTCTCCAGGTGATGTTAGTCAGTGGTTAACACAACCTAGAAAATGTTTACGTTATTACAAGTATGATCTTCATAATGAAGATTTAATTCGTAAGAAATCCTGCATTGAAAATCCTAATTTCTAACCATATTATTACGCAATATAACCTCCACCCTCTCTCTCCCATAAACAACAAGAAAATAAAGTATGTTGATATGTTTTCCAACTGTATGCTAACAAGGAATAACGTAGAAACTATGCTCATCGCTATGATGTTTCGGTGGCCTAATAAATAAGGTTCTGGTGTTTGAAGTGACCGTTCCGGAGTCCGAGTCCTAACGGGAAAAACATCGCTCACTGAGGTGCAGGTACATCCAGCTGACGAGTTCGAAATAGGACGAAATGCACATCCTGGATTCTAGTGCTAGCCGTTATCCATCAATCATGTGGTGGTTCATCTGTAATGACCTGATAAAATCCTATGAAATTTTCACGTCAGTCACTATTCTTAACTGAAAACTATCCCATAGAAAACAGCTGTATTTCAATAACTCCACGAGTATCATTATTAAAAACTGGTGTAATAATTGGTACTTTAAAACACCTAATTTCATTACAATCTATATTTAGTTGGTTGAAAACGTTTGGCAGGAAGCTGTGCACGCAAGCTTCGTGCTTCTAGAGATATATGTTTGAATTTTTGAGGGAGTAGTGGAGATTTGGAGATATTTCAAGTTGTTATTCATCGTAGACTGACATCAGTTAGAGGAACAAAGGAAACTTGGGAGCACTGGACAGCTGTTTCGTCCAACTAGTATGGGACTCCTCAACAGTGTGCACATATGACCCCGTCAGGGATCGAACCGGTGACCTTCAGGTTCCACGGCCAGCACGTTACGATTGAGCTAGCCACTGGGTCAGCTATATTTCCAACTCCTGTTAGCTCACGATATAGCGCAACCGCCACCACCACGGAGCCTGAAGTTCGCAGGTTCGATTCCTGGCGGTGTTGTGGGTGCGCACTTCTGAGGAGTCCCATACTGGGACGAAACAGCTGTCCAATGCTCCCAGATTTCCTTTGTTCGACCAACTGATGTCAGTCTACGATGAATAACAAAGTATGTTTGAGTTTAACAGTCAGAGCAGAAACTTAGTGTTTTAAAATGATTTGAAAATAAATATATGAGCAACTCTGAAGATCATTCTAACAATTACGAATGTAACCAATCCCAGTTGAAATACTGAAACCTGATTGGTTATTTCAACAATTTTCAAGGTGACCTTTGGATTCACCCATTCATTTGCGGAAACAGGAGGTCACTCACTTTGTGAATAAAGCATCATTAATGGGTAATTTTTCTATCACATTACAATGACCTCACAACTATCACCTCATTCAAATTGATGTCCTATTACCACCCACTTTCATGATGTAGATTACTAAAAAATAATACTCATATGTCTTGAACCAGAGTCCATTTTTAACTCATGATACTGTTGGCCTTCTGAGTCACTCAAATGTCAAAGTGACTGTAAAGGTCATTCTTCTAAATACTGAAACAACCGATCAAATTTCGGTATTTTGGCTAGAAAGTTAGTTTTTCATAAAATAAAAAGATTGGATTGGTTATTTCAACACTGGTTAGGGTGACCTTTTACGTCACTCAAATTTCACCTCTAATTACTGGGACACTGTTGGTAGTATGCGAAAAAATTCTTTAAAGTTGATCATAACACTGAAATTAAAGTAGATTTCACGCTTCCTACGAGTCATAATGGTACAAAAAGAAGGTATTTTCTCAGGCTTCTAATTCACTATTTGTTTTCGTGTAAGTTTTTACAGGGCGGTTAGTTGGACGACATTACAATGAATTATAAAGTGTAACAGAGCCCAGTCCAAGTTTATGTACCGACTAAGAGCTGTGCTAATACCGTTAGGGTATATGATTCCAACCCAGGTGGAGAAATGGACACAAGACTCATTGTTTACTATCTGAGTGCTTAGACCAATCTAAAATGTTCTGTATTAATCATGGAATGACATCAACAGGAGATGTTTCGAAAACCCGGGAGAACTGGACAGCCGTTTCGTCCAGGTATGCGACACTTCAGCAGTGCGCACCCACGATCCGGATAAGAATCGATTACTACTACCTCAAACCTGAAATCCCTATTCGCCTCAAAGCACTATATATATATATATATATATATATATATATATATATATATATATATATATATATATATATATATATATATATATATATATATATATATATATATATATATATATATATATAACTATTTGAAACAGACATTTTGATACCCTAACTTTACGACGTGGTGATCTCTAACGTAAAGAGCTTTTGGTAAGTTGACGAAATGTACTACTGATGTCTTCAAGGTACACTAATGATTCGTTTGTTTTCGAACCCTAGAAACAATCATCCAATGCTGAACTATTTTGAAGGTCATCCTATCAATGGCTGAAATAGACAATTATAAACTAGTTCATTTTAGATGAAAAGGCAAATTTTCTTGAAATCAAGAATTCTAATTGATGACTTCAGTTATTGTTAAGGTGACCCTAGAGTCACTTTCAAAGTTTTGATGACACTAAGCTGACTTATGTTACGAGTAGATATATATGTAGATATCCTTTAATTATTAATTCATGTGATTAAGTGGTATGATTTATTAGAATGACACGAGACTATTCAAATGACTACAAAGTGTATACTGTCATTTCTAAATTGATGAGTGTTAAGGCATCAGCTGTTCAGTATGAAATCAATGATTGCTAAGGGGCCCTTGACAGAAATGTATCAATGTCCTTGATCATATAATTACATAACTATCAGATATGATGACTGCTTGAGTCAGTACATGTATAGAATGATTGTGATAAAGTTAATAAAGTTGGTGAAATCATTTAGATCAACAAAATTACTCTATGAAAGAAACAGAGACAAGTTGTTGGCTTGGGTTTCATCAGTGTGTATTTAAAAGTCCACTTGCTTTTATGGGGCTGAGTACTTTGGTTGTACCACGTGCTTCCTTGAAAGACGTATAGGTGAATATTACCTGACCTGTTGTTATGATACTTGTAATCTCCTGCTCCCATACAGAACTGAATTGCTAGACCTCTGCTGTAGGCAGATGGGCTCCTATTTGAAAGCGTTGGTACTGATGGATATTCATGATGTTATATTGATTTTGGTGACTAGCAGAGAAATTCACAACCCGCATTTCGTCCTGTTTGGGACTCGTCGACTGGATGTGCCTGCACCACAGTGCGGAGTGATGTTGTCCCCACCAAGGCTCAGACCCCCCAAGGGTAGGCTCAGAAATAAGAACTAAAGCACTCCTTTCTATTCCATCAGTGTACGTGTTCTTGACACTTACAGTTAAGGTGGTAGATATGCTCTTCGCTACCCACAACCCCCAGGAGTCCAACCCAGGACCTTTAGGTTGGGCGGTCAGCACGTTATCAGAACTAAACAGGCTAGCATGACCTATATGTAATATCGTCTTTGAGTAAATGTCCTTATGTTCGATTTCGTTGACTCCATTGGTCATGACTTCTCATGAGAACTTGGGGAATAACCTCAAAGGCTAGTCACACCAGCCGTGTTACTAGTTGATCTTGTCGAAAAATTTTTCTTAGCATGATAAAAGGATTCTAATTGGTGATGGCTGGAAGTGGAATCCATTATGGACATTTCGTCCTGTCTAGGACTCATCAGCTGGACGTGTCTGGAACCCAATTGGAGGTACTGATCCTATTGAGACTCTAACTTCTAACCTCTCGCTTCATACACCAAAGCGTTATCCACTCGGTCAATGAGATATGAGAATCACCTTTTGTACGATGAGTATCACCTATTATTTATTAATACTTGCAGTTTCCCTCTGGTATTGTAAATCAAAATGATCGACCTCTATTGACACATGGGCTAGTATGTGGGTGCTTTGACAGTGAGCGAATTACGTATCCAGGAATCAATGCCAGCTATCATCTAGCAAACTCATCACCTATCATCCAAATCAACATAGCACCAAGCATTACTACGTAACGCTCTGAGTTGCCACGGTTCATGTCAGTACATCAAGTAAAAAGGCAATGAAGTGGAAGATGAAGAAAAGAAAATTCAATCGAAAGAAGTATAAAGTACTCAAAGAGAGGAAGTATGAGAAAATGGTGAGATTCGGTACAACCTCATGAAGATGAAGATAATGTGTATAATGTGTATATATCTGCACAGTCAGTCTCCAACCACTTGTTCCTCTTGTTCCCCACCCCACCGACCCCAACCACCTAGTCTGCATCGCCTCGCATGGCTCAAACCAACAGTCAAACACTTCATACATTCATCCCATGCTTTATTCTGCTCCCCTTCTCGAGCCTTTCTCTAGCCTGAACCTACTTCGGCTAACATTGTGTAAGGAGGTAGACGGTGACTAGGCATACAAAATACATATCCCAACCAGCCATCTCAGTCGATGAAGCTTCACAACCGTGTCAACTGACTCACCTCTACTTTTACCTATTCACCCTAAAACTCTACATCTGAGATTGATTTCTGGGTTACTCACGTGGTGACGCCACGGAATACGACCTGTACTTCACTACGAAGACGACGGTTGGTCAAACACCTGAAACCTTCTCGTGTCTTCCACCTTCAATGGCCATGTTTCATGGCCATAGAGTTTAACAGAGTGGACTGGTGTGCAGTACACGCCACACTTAATAGACAATCGTATACCACGGTGGCGCTATAGGTGACGTAAGTTGGCAAAGGTCTGTCGGGCCTTTTGTATTCGTGCAGAACCATCAGGGTAGGGCTGATCCCACTTATTAGGTGGATTGAGTGATTGACACACTCAACCACTACACTCTCTAGTAGCAGCCAAGGCACCGTTGAAGACCAATCCTAGAATAACGATATGCATTCGAGAAGAATCCTCGAAATGAATTACAAAAGAGATAAGCTCATACTATCCAGCTACACCTGTGGTCTTCGGGTTGTTCAAGTTAATGATAAATGGGAAGAATTATATGAAACTATTTCCAGTTGAAAGAAAGGCAACCTACTGATGTATACCGCCTAACAGTGGAATCCAGATTGACGTGAGTTTCGTCCGATTTCTGACTCATCACCTTGATGCATCTGCCCCCTAGTGAGACATGTTGTCTCCACAAGAATTTGAACTCCGAACCGATGGCTTCAAACTCTAGAAGGTCATCTGTTAGATCACTGATTCACGACAGCCACTTCTTATGGAAGGTGTGTAACTATAATGTTGTTGCTTGTATTATACCGTCGTAAATTGGACCAAACTGCTCGGTCTCTATTGGTATATGAGCTTCTGCACGGATGCCTCAATATTGCCTGTGTTTGATCTATATATTTGTGATAAGTAATACCAGCAACAACATTTTAATTACACTCACTGCACAAGAAGTGGCTATCGTGAGTCATTGGTCTAACAGATGACGATCTAGCAATCGGTCTCCATTTCAAATTTTAGTAGTGACAACATGGCTCACTAGGGGGCAGGTACATCAAGCTGATGAGTCCGAAATAGAAGGAAACACTAAGCATTACCTACCATAAATATATAACTAAAACACAGGCAATATCGAGGCATCCTCACGAGAGCCCATAAACCAACAGAGACTAGTCAATTCGGCGCAATCACTGACGGTGTAATAATAATTATTATTATTGTATATTATTATTTGTCCCTTGGGTTCCTAATGGGACATGTCTCTATTTCACTCTGTTCTCTGCAATCTTTTTGACCTGGCGCCACAATAGCCCAGAAGCTCTCATTTTTTCTTCACATGATCTCCTCCATGTCACCCTCGGACTCCCAACTCGTCGTTTCCCATCTGGGTTCCACTCGAGTGCCTGGCCTGGCGCGTGATGTCCCTACATGGTCTTCTCAGTGCATGCCCAATCCATCTCCACTTCCTTCTGCATACTTGTTGTGTGACAGGTTCTTGGTTGGTTCGTTGCCGGGCCAGAGTCCCTTGTTGCTTATTCTTTGTGGCCATCTGATCTTCAGTATCGAGCCAGCGTAGGCATTTGTTGATGAATGTCTGTAGTTTTGTTGAAAATGCTTTTCGTGACACGCCAACTCTGAATGAACCATCACATAGAAGCACTGACTTGACTGGCATTGGTTTTGAAAATCCGTATGTTGTTCACGCTTTATACTGAGTGCAGAAGATCTCCACACTGGTTTCAGGCTAATGAACGTCTGTCTTGCTTTTCTGATCCTGGCTTTGACGTGACGGTATAATACAAGCAATAATATTAAAACCCTACCCGTCACGCAAGAAGTGGCTATCGTGGCTGGGTAGTCTAGTGCATAATGCTCTGGCGTTTGAAGCAATACGTCCGGAGTTTGAATTCCAGTGGGAACAATACTTGCTAGGAAACAGGTACATTCAGCTTACGAGTTTCAAACAGGACGAAATGAGCATCCTAGATTCCACTGCTGACCACTATCCATCATTACTAAATCTATTTAGAACATAGGTAATATCTAGGTATCCGCACAGAAGAGCAAATGTCAATAAAGACCGATCACTTTAGTTCACTCAACAACGAGATAATACAAGCAACAATATTAAGGACAACTTACTTCAATTTGATCATTTCCAGTGTTAACTGTTTGCTTTGAATCAACCCACTTATTCAACAAAGCAGACATTGTTTGTAAAGTTATGTGTTTGGATGGAATTTGATCAGAACAATGTCTTTTCTTTCCAGGAGATACATATTCACTTGAATTATCATAAATATCATTCACACAGTCCATATTTATTAAATTTGAAGGATAAGTTTCATCAGGAACTCGCCCTAATGTAATAGAATATGAGGTGACTGGATAAGTTGACTCTTTTGTCTGTTCAAAACAATAAGGTTTTTCTACTAAATGTTTTACAACTTTAGTAGAAGGATTTGGTTGACTACGTCTACGTATACGAGAACGTTGAGTATAAACTAGATTGTTGAAACGAACTTCTTGTTCACTTCTTGAAGAAGTATCAGAAAAGAATTCTGCAGCAACAGGTGGTGAATGTGAATGAATTGAGCGTACATGCTCTACTTTATTTGAAACAGTAACCGCTGTAGCTTTACATTCACGTCGTGAACATCGCCAAAATACACGATCACCCATACCATCTCTTGATTTGGTAAATTTATATCCATCAATTACTAGACTTCTTTCACCTGAAAGAAAGAAAACCAATTATGTTCATATTCACTTAAGAGAATCAGTAAAACATAGGAGATGGCAGTAAAATACATCCAATTCTGTTGAATGAAAATAGTTTAAACGCATGTCAGTTCAAAAAAAGGCACTAATTTGATAATAAAGAAAAGAATTAATGGCTTTTGAAGGATAGTATTGATAAATAGTGGCTAGCAATGGAATGCTGTATCCACGTTTCGTCCCACTCCAGACTCGTCAGCTGGACGTGTCTGACTCTCAGTGAGTGATGTTATTCCCATTAAGATGTAAACTGAAGACCGACCGCTTGAGATACCAGATCGTTATCCACTAGACCACTAAGTCATGATAGCAGCTTCTTTTGCGATTGGTATAGTTTTAATTTTGTTATAAATAGGGGATAATCCAGGTGACAACACTGAAGCTATAAACGAGCATAAGAAGCGTCTATCGTGACTCAGAGGTCTAGTGGATAACTCGATGGCGTCTCAAGTGATCGGTCTCAAGTCCCGGTGAGAACAATAGTGCTCACTAGAAGGGAGGTACATTCATCTGAGGAGTCCTGAATAGGACGAAACGAACATCAAGCTGGATTCCACTGCTAGTTATTATTTATCAGTGATATAAGCTTGAAGAGATACACTCAATCGAGGCATCCGCCCAGGATCCTATATGTGAATACAGACGAGTAGGAAGAGTAGTTTACTATCAGATCATAACTCCTATTTTGGATAACACATGAAGAAGAGCCTGAAATGTACCTCGGAAATTCAAATGATTTTGTTATTGTAGTAGAAGTAGTAGTATACGATTAGTATATTATCATCATCAATATCAACATAGGATTAGGCATTACTGCGTAACGCTCCGAGTTACCATCACACCTCATATCACTACATCAAGTAGAAAGGTAGTAAGGTGGATGATGAAGATAGGAGAATGCAATCAAAAGAAATATTAAGCACGAAAGAAAAAAAGAGGAATAACAAAATGGTGAGATTCATTGCAGCGTCGTTAAGATGAGGATAATGTGTGTGGATATACATCTACACCACTCACATTGGTTCTCAGCCATATCACCTACAGTCTCCAACCACTGGTTCCTCTTGTCCCACACCCCGCCCCCCACAGATCCCAACCACCTAGTCTGCATCTCCCCACATGGGTCAGACTAACAGTCAGAGACTTCATGCATTGGTGCCATGTTTTAGTCTTTCCACCTCGAGCCTTTTTCCAGCCTGGACCATTCGATTAGTATACATATTGGCGAGTCCTCATACTTAAATCGGTCGACTTACCTGGAAAACATCTACAACGAAGTGAAAGAAAATGACAATTTATGAGGAGCAATGCGCCGCTCTAAGGCCTACAGGGTGCAACACATTACAGCCATATCTAACTAAAATGTTACAACCTAAACTTATTCTTTGGAGGATTTTAGAATAGTCGAATTCCTCAAATCACGCAATTGCAAAGTCTTTGATCCAGTTTCTAGATGTGCTAGACAAAATATCTTTTAAAAAATGCCTAGATGAACTTTTCATGTTGTTTTTTCTTTAACATTATGTATTATAGATTTCGCCAATTATTTGTGTCTAGTAAAGCACAAACTCGAAGATCTACAGGCAAAAACCAACAAGTTGACAGAAGAGGCAGCGAAAAAGGGAATTCAAGTGAACGTGGAGTAGACAGAGGTGATGAAGATACCCAATCAACAACAACAAGCATCAATCATCATGAGTGGGAGAAACCTAAATGAAGTAGTCTCTTTCATCTACTTACCTGCCTAGGCAGTATCCTTTCAACTACAGGCGGCGGCACAGATGAGGATATCAAAACCAGGATCGAAAAAGCAAGATAGGCTTTCATTAATCTGTGCAGATCAGTGTGAAAATGTACTGAACTCAGCATAAAAAACAAGATCTGGATTTTCAGCACCAGCGTCAAGTCAGTGCTTATATATGGTTCAGAAACTCGGATGATATGGAGGAGATCGTGTGAGGAAGAAATGAAAGCTTGTTGGCAGTTGTAGAGCAAAGTTCAAAAGACTGTAGAGAACAGAGTGAAATACAGACTTGGGTCTGAATCCCTATGTCCCACTAGGAACCCAAGGGACAAGTAATAATAATAATTATGGACAAATGGACAGAATCTCTTTGGATTTATCCCTAGGCCGGATTTTGACTAATTTGTCTCACTAAACTTAAGAACTGACCGTAAAAAATATCACTAATAGACTGAACATTTATCAACTGTTTGCAACTGACACACTTATTATTCTAGACCACAAAGTAGACAGAAATGAACTGTTGGGGGTACAACCATTCTCAGCTGTCACTTACGAACAGCACACAAGTAAACTTTTTATTCAGTTTTGAGGTTTATGGAGATTTATTGACTTCAGGTGTGTAGTATCGCACAATCTCGAACTTCCACAGGCGAAAACTAACAAGTTGGCAGAAGAAGGAAGCAGCGAAGACTACGCTTCCTTCAGGTGGACGTAGGGAAGACAGAGGTGATGGAGATGCCCAACCAGCATCAGCAACGACGAGCACCATGGACGGGAGAAATGTAAAGGAAGTTATCTCTTTCACATACGTACCTACCCACTTATCTAGGCAGCATCTGAAGACACCGAGACAGGCTTTCCTTCATTAATCTGAAATAATCAGTGTGCAGAACTACTGCTATGCAATGCAATGCACTGCACTACACTGCACTCAGCATAGAGTGTGAACAACATCCAAGGTTTCAACACTAATTCAGTCAGGTGAGTCAGTACTTCTGCGTGATGGTTGAGAGAGTTGGCGCGTGTTAAGAAAAGTATTTCCAACAAACTGCAGGCACGCGTCACATGAACAGCTGCCACCCACGCTCACTCCATACTGAAGATCAGATCAGATGGCCAGAAAAATGGATGGATTGGGTTGGACATACACTGAGAAGACCATTCTGAGACATCACACGTCAGGCGAGGTCTTCAAGTGCAACCGAAATGGGAAACGACGAGTTAGGTGTCCGACTGTGACAGTGAGGAGATGGTGTGGGGAACAGATGAGAGCTTTTGGGCAGTGGTGGAGCCAGGTTGAAAGGACTGTGCAGAAGAGAGTGAAATGGTGACGTGCTACTGAAGCCTTATGTTCCACTAGGAACTCAAGGGACAATAATAATAATAATTGATTTAAGGATGGTATTTATCATCATCGTGCTATATTGTGAACTGACGGTAGCAGGACATGTGGAACATTGGGTTCCGACGCGGTGACTCAATGTTCACGTGCTAGACACGGGACTTGAAGGTCCTGGTTTCAATCCCCGGTGGGTTCAGATTATGGGTGCATGCCACTGAGGAGTCCCATACTGGGACAGGACAGCTGATCAGTGCTTCTAGGTTTTTAATGTCTCCCCAACTGATATCAGTTCCTGATGTATACCAACTTTATATTCTTCAATGCTTAATTAAGAGGAACTCAGAAATCCCTTTTATGAGTGATTGCACACATCTTCTTAGTCACGTACCTACTGAGTACAAATAAACCCAGTTAGATACTTCAGTGACAAAGCGAGAAAATTATATCCTGATGACTTTATAGGTAAGAAGTTAGAATGCATCCATAACTTGCTGATAAAAAGGCAAATAAACAAATCGAAACCCTTTTTTTTTGCAGACTAGTCTTCGTTTCTCAAGCGAAATATAAGTTAACTAGTTTTAACTGATCGATGAGGCGCACCGGCTAACTAAGTCTTATCATCACTTAAATCCCCCTAGTGCTTTGACCAATTCTCTAAGGATTCCGTGATACATACTCACGATTTCAGCCACTCCCATTGAAAGTGGAAGATATGAGAAGGCTGGCTTCAAGTGTTTGACCACCGTTGCCTTCATAGTATAGGCCGTATTCCGTGGTGTCACCATACCATATGAGTAATGCAGAAGTCAGGTATAGAGTTTTAGGGAGTATAGGTAAATCATTTGATGAGGTTATGAACCTTCATCGACTGAGATGGCTGGTTGGGACACTTACTATGTATGCCTAGTCACCGATTGCCTCGTCACACAATGCTGGTGGAAGTAGGTGCAGGCTGGAAAAAGGCTCGAGGTGGCCAGACTAAAACATGGCACCAATGCATGAAGTCTCTGAATGTTAGTCTGACCCATGTGGGGAGATGCAGACTAGGTGGTTGGAGTCTGTGGGGGGCGGGGTGGGGGACAAGAGGAACCAGTGGTTGGAGACTGTAGGTGATATGGCTGAGAACCAATGTGAGTGGTGTAGATGTATATCCACACACATTATCCTCATCTTAACGACGCTGCAATGAATCTCACCATTTTGTTATTCCTCTTTTTTTCTTTCCTGCTTAATATTTCTTTTGATTGCATTCTCCTATCTTCATCATCCACCTTACTACCTTTCTACTTGATGTAGTGATATGAGGTGTGATGGTAACTCGGAGCGTTACGCAGTAATGCCTGATCCTATGTTGATATTGATTGACTGAGCTGTGTTGCGGAGCATTTACTGTCATAGGGGAGAAGGAACGATGAAAATCCATTTACTTAATAGTGATCGCATAGTATATAAAACCATTATATTCAAGATTATCTACTACATGTCATTAAACCTTTCGAATGACACTATAACTCGTATACATAACAGAATTTGAGCCAATAATCCTAGTTTTTGTATCCAGAAGTTTTTATATCCAATGTTTTTAACTTGGCTAAGAAATATTCAATAAAAATCTTTATTGTCGAAACGTTTCTCTTTCTATTTCATTCCTAACCCATTTTACACATACTTCCTGGTGATTGCCTCGAACCAATGAAATGAATGTGTTTGTTGAAACTTTGTCGATACGCCTACTTCATTATTTAGTTTTACGTAACTTTTACGTTTCAGAGATACTGACCCTTCGATTTTCGGAGTTTTCACATTCTTATGGGGTTTTCCTTGTTTTTCTCAACATTACTACCATTCGTATTGAAGAAAAGTCGCAAGACTGTTTTCGTCAATGATATTATTGTGATTACTGCAGTTATTATTCTTAATGTTACCAGAACCTTGATTACCATATATGTGATGTAAAAAACTGATTATTTACCAACAAATCTCCATAATTCCCTTACATTACAATATACATATACAGAACTACTTAGAGCAAGGTCGAGAACAATACTATTCATCTATGTCTTATTCTAAGTAAGTGGCAATTTTACTGCTGTTATCCAGCAGCCTGGTGGATAACTGTTGGGGATTTGAAGCGATATCTTATGGGTTGCAGTTTCAATGAAAGCAGCATCATTTCAATAGGATGCAGATACTCCAAGCTGATGAGCACCAAATGAAACTAAAGGTGCGTCGCAAATTCCAAACTGTTAACCCCTACCAAGCATATTGTAGTGAGTGATGCTGAACATAATGAATTTAAGTAGAATATGTTGAGAGGGCGGCGGAAATCATAGGCAGTTACCAGCAATGGGTAAGGATTCTACCCAGAGAAATGCAACAGATAATGTGGGCGTATAAAGAGCTAGTTATGATAGAAACAGCAGAGGAAATGAAGCACATTGTGCGAATGACTATTTTACTTGAAAGTGTACAATATTTCATCACTACTGTACAAGATGTCAATCATAAACATTCGTTACTGCGTCTCGGGCCTTCTCCTTTGCTACATTAGTGTCGCTGCTTCTGGATGTGATGAAGATTCCGTGGCCTGAAGTGTTCAAGGATAGAGATATCAAGGTCTTCCTCAGGGACTTTGAGTTTGTCGTGGAGCTGGTGGGTGTCAGGATCCAGGAGCGAAGGCTGTGGTGCTTGACACGTTGCTGAGGTGTAGGACGAAAGCAGCGTATGACGGCGAGGAACGTGAAGAGGGGAAGAAGATTTGGGAGAGGATGGTTGAACGCCTAGGGGTGGAGTTTGACAGCCGGGCGGACAGGGGGCTGGCGATGCATCAGTTTCAGAGCACGAAACTGGGAATACACGAATACCCACCAGTATCGGTTGCGAAGTTGACTAAACTACTTAGACGAGCACTTCACACGCTGGATGAAGACTACCAGGAGCAACTGCTGTCCCGATTCCCATCACCCAACAGCTACCACTGGTCAACCCAGCACAACTCATCAATATCAATCAGCTGGTCAAGGTCACCACCAGATAGCCAATGGGTACAGCAGCAGCTGCGGCAGAGCCACCAGAGGTAACTAATTGGAGAAAACAAGTCGATAACCTTCAGGAGGAGGTGTCTACACTTCGAATGAATGTCAACGGACAGAGTAAATACTTTGCATGTGGAAAACTGGGACACTGACTAAGAAACTGTCAAGAAAGGCGAAAAAGAAGCAGTTTTAAACGATATAATATGGGTTCTGTTTTTCTGATTGGACTATGTGTTGTAGGAGCTATACAGTCATAGATAGAGGGGCAATGTATACTATAATGCTAATAAGTGATCGGAAGATCGTGTGTCTAGTAGAAACGTGAACTTCAGTCTCACTGATAGATAAGGGTCAGTCAGTCTCAGAACATAATACCATGTGCGCTAACTATTGGTGTCCTCACAGTTGGTGGACATGCAGTAGGAATTGTAGGCTAATCAGATTGTATGGTGGAGATTGTAAGTCGTAAAATTAGTTTTCCATTCATTTTGACCACACATGTACAACGGATAATCCTAGGTGCTGATTATTTGAGAGCAGTGGGCACAATTATTAACGCGAGAACAGGAATGGTGACGACAAAGTTTGGGTCGTCTAGCACGCAGAAAAACACTGAGGTAGCAGAGATTGAGGTATCAAAAGCAACACACACACAGAAGCTTCAGACATCATGAAGTTGGTTAAGAAATACAAATTTAGTCATCGAATACTGTATACTTTCTACTCAGACAGTCATTTACACAACATGCTTCATTTTCTCTTCTGCCTCTATTAAATTTTGCTCTTAAAATTTTCAAGTGAGAGATCATTTCAACGGACAATGAATTCAATATTCACGTACACTTAGTAGACGAGAAAACCAATGATCAATGTTTCACATGGTTATAGCAAAACGAATTAACATGTTCACTGAAGTAGCTAAAGATAAGAAAAACTTGTTCTTAGAAGCCTTGTGATAAAGGAAGTGTCTTGTTAATATTCAGTTAAAATTTGACGAATTGCTTAGTATCAATCTACTCTACTTAAAGATGAGTAATCGAAGTTATGTGACAGTTGTAGGTAGTTTTCATTAGGGGGTTCTAGTTAGGATAGCAGTTAAACGGAAGAATCATTGGGCATCTATTCAATCCTTATTTAAGCTTTTCCAACAGGATTCATATCACCTTCAGTACATCCTTAGACGAACCTAGGATCCTTTAAGTATCTGGCAACAAGGTTTCAGACATTCAGTGATCAATTCTGTCGTCAAGCAATGGATAATACCTACAGTTATTCATAGGATATATCATTCATCGTTAACCTCTATCTATGGAGAGAAAAAAAATGATATGAGAGGTATGTATACTGATACAGTCCTTCCAACTAGTATTGTAGAACTCTTGCATAAGATTCATCACTTCAGTTAAAAGTGTACAAGCATCAATGAAAAAATATGTATACTTCTCAACAATTTGAGTTTTTGGAAACCACTTAGGATGATCTGCTAATTGATGACACTTTTGTGTTAGAGATCATAGCTTGTGATCTTCACTGGTGGTGTGATTTCTAACGAAATGCTCTTGGACAGTTGAAAAATTACTTAACTCTTGATGAAATGTCAACGTGGACTGGGCAATTTACTAATCATTCGCAAGTCAGTTAACCAGATTTAGTTGATCTGAACTTGTTTAGCTGTCTGAGTTGGATTTACACGAGTACACTTCATGATGAGAGGTTCTTGAAACCGTTATGTGTTTACACCATCTTTATCTAGGCACCAAATGCTGTTGACCCGTATGAGTAGTCCAGAACTACTCTTATCAGCCAGTACTATACACTTACTACAGAAGAGTGAGGTAAATAAAAGGTTACCTAAACTTTTTCTATGCTCCGAGTGATCACGTACATATGAAAGATTCTCATAGTAGAGTATACGTTTGCTATTAATGCTTTTTTAGTCCAAAGACTGACTACTATCAGAGAAAAATAATTATGAAATAAATTCCGTCTAAATGTAAAACAACTGTGAAATAATATATTATATTTTAATTTATCTAGAGATGGCCAGCACTGGAATCCAGAATGCGCGTTTCATACTATTCAAGACTCATCAGCCGGATTTGGCTAGATCTTAGTGAGTGATACTACCCCCCCTCCTCCCCAAGACTTGAACTCTTTTACTCATCGTTTCAAATGCTAAAGCGTGATATACTAGGCAATGGGAACAGAGCTAGAGTTAGAGTTGTTCAACCGAATTTTCATGCTACAAAGATTGTTAAACTGAAATGATGAACAGTTAATTTATAGGAAATGTTCTTCGGCTTTACAGACTGAATCACCAATTAGCTAAATACTTCTTGGAATACTAGCATTTCAGATATCTCCCAGTCGGTGGTTCGCAAGTTCAAGTATCACTCCACCTATTAAGGTTTAGGTATTCAGACAGAAACCTATCACGCAACAAATATGCAGGAAGAAGTGGAGATGGATTGGCCATGCACTGAGAAGGCCGACTGAGGACATCACGCGTCAGGCCAGTTGCTCGAGTGGAATCCCCATGGGAAGCGACGAGTTGGACGTCCTAGGTGAGGGTGACATGGAGGAGGTGGTGCGAGGAGGAAATGAGAGCTTCTGGGCTGTCGTGGGACCAGGTCCAAACGATCTCAGAGAACAGAGGTCACTGGAGGCGTGCTACTGAAGCCCTATGTTCCACTAGGAACCCAAGGGACTAATAATAATAATAATAATTCAGACAGAAATCTGATTAGCCCTTAGGGATAAATATCTCCATGATTACTGAGTGGATTTTCATTTTATACGTCAAAGTTATGACTGACTGTAATAAACAATGAATTATATTTCTTTATATCATCCATTCATAGTATGAAAAGATAATTTTTTTCAAATTAAAACTACCCACCTTTACGTGTAACATCAAAACCGACACGAACTTTAACTAAATTACACTGTTCCTCTATAGGTTTATTGATTAGGTTGGATGTAACAGTTTGCTTTGATGTATTCACCATAGAAGTGATTTGACATGTATTATTTTTATCTTGTTTTGTATTGAAAACTTCTCCAGATAAACTGAGACTGATAGTTTTACATGAAATATCCTGTGAATGTGTAGTTGAACCACCATTGATGTTTGTTTCTGTGACTTGTATACTCTCCAAAGTATGATGATTACTGTGAACCATAGTATTTGTAATTAATGAATTAAACTGAAGGATAGTTGACACTGAGTATTCCAAGGTCTACAAGTTGATCATTTATGCATTGATGAAGTGATCATCTAGTTTTCTCTCCTTATGAACGTGACTTAACTGTTGTTGTTTGTGTAATTTGTTTAAGGCGTAGAAACACCCAATATCTCTAATGTTCAAACAATAATCAAAGACTACACTTTCTTGTATATGTGTGTAACACGCTCTCTTTGATGCTTATTTATCATAGAGGAAGCCTTCTTCAAGAGAGTCTAGACGATAAATACTTTCACTTTAATCTAATTAACCAATCACTAGACTATATATCGAATGTCTAATTGGTCAATGCATTGATAGTGTGCATTTTACCTTATCATTATTATAACAAAATGTAGTAAAACACTGATTAATCAGTCTATATCATCATATATCTAATTTAATGACTCATTACAATTGTAAACAATAGTAAGTTAGAGAAATAGATGAACGATATAATGATACTTAAAGAGGATAGTTGGAACATTTTATTTTTCACGTAGATTGTCTTATTCTATGGTTAACTACTTCTATGTCAAATGAGATTTATCTGTAAAAAGGTATTTGAACGCTTCACTCGGACAATTTCGAAGACAGTGATGCAATTTGACAAACATTTATTACTACTATTAATAATAATAATCCTTAGGTTTCTAGTGGAACATTGGGATACAGTAGCACATCACCATTTCACTCTCTTCTCTCCAGTCTTTTCAACATGGCTTGGCTTCAACAATGCCCAAAACCTCTCATCTCTCATCTCTTCTTAACACCATCTCCTCACTGTCACCCTCCAACACCCAACTCGTCGTTTCCCATTCACCTTCCACTCGACTACCTCACCTGACTCGTGATATCCCGAATGGTTTTCTCAGTGTATATCTAATCAAATCCAACCCATCTCCACTTTCTTTGTCTGGATATTTGGTGGGTGATGGGTTTTAGCCTGGTTGGTTCGTTGACAGTCAGTCAGTCAGCCAGCCAGCCAGAGTTCCTGCTTGCTTATTCTTATTATTTTGGCCACCTTTCTGGCCATCTGATCTGATCTTCAGTATGGAGTGAGTGTAGGCGGCAGTTGTTCATGTGATGCATATCTGCAGTTTGTTGGAAATGCTTTACATAACACGTGCCAACTCTCTCAACCATCACATAGCAGCACTGACTTGACTGAATTAGTGCTGTGAATCCGGATGTTGTTTGCATTTTATGCCAAGTGGAGTGGAGTGGAGTGCAGTGGACTGGATTGCAGTAGTTTTTCACACTGATTATTCCAGACTAATGAAGGAAAGCGTGTCTCAGTGTCTTTTTGATGCTGGCCTTGACATCGTCATGTGTGCCTGTGCCACCTGTCGTTGACACGATGCTGACCAGGTAGGTAGGTAGGTAGGTAGGTAGCTGGGTAGGTGGGTGGGTGGGTAGGTAGGTAGGTAGGTAGGTAGGTAGGTGGGTAGGTAGGTAGGTAGGTAGGTAGGTAGGTAGGTGAAAGAAACTACGTCCTTCTGATTTCCCCGTTAATGGTGATTACTGCTTATGATTGACCTTGTTATTGGTTGGGTATCTCCATCACCCTTGTCTTTTCTATGTTCACCTGAATAAAGTTGAGTCTTCGCTGCCTACCTCTTCCGCCAACTTGTTAGTCTCACCAGTACATCTTCCAGTTTGTGGGACATTAGATATAAATCACCATCGTCTTAATCCATATCTTCTGGGGTCTTATCATCGGTCAAATAGCACATGGCCATCTTCTCACGGCTGCTCACCGTTGTCTAATGCATAATCCAGTCTAGTTGACCACAATGAGGAAGATGATGGGTGATAGTAGGTGGCAAACTTGTCTTACTCCTTTCTGTCTTCACTTCACTTCAAATGCATCAGTGATTTGAACTTTCCATTGTGAATCACTTGGCATGTAGCATCATCATCATCATGTAGCCTGTATCTGCTGAATGAGGCTGATAAAGCTTTATGGTACTAAAATCGTCGTGTTGAAGCAGTTTCCAAATTACTTCTTAGTCAACGCTGTCAAAGGCCCTTTTCAGAGTCGATGAATTTCAGGTAGAGAGTTGACTGGCATTCTATGCTCTGTTCTATGATGATGCATAATGTAGTATTGCAGTTTGATCAACACATGATTTCTTCTTCCTGAAGCCTTGACAAACACTGTTTATCCAATAATCGAATAAAAATATTTTGGCTGAATATTACTACATTTTGATTTGAGTATAATACTCAACTGGCCCCAAAATCATTCTGTGGTTCATTGATCTATGAAGATGGCATCCATTCAGTAGGTGAAGAGTTTCGAACGTTGAACTGCCTACCGTTGGTCAACTCAATTCGTTACTAATGTTTTCTATCAGTTAATTTTATTCACTAGTTTATTTTGAGGGGTTTCAAGTCAGTTTGGTGTCAAGAATCAAAATCTGTAGAAACCAAGTGTTTCCTCTTGGAAATCTACAGTTCGTTTATTATTATTATTACTATTATTATTATTATTATTATTATTATTATTATTATTATTATTATTATTATTATTATTATTATTATTATGAGTGGAAAGCTTCTTGACTTTCAAAGATAATGAAGGATTTCTACTTTCAGTCGTTTTTGTGTCATATTTGAAGTTTAACGATCTTTGGTAGTCAGATGTCAGTTATCAGAGAATCATTGCCATATTTCGTTTACTTCAGAACAAAATATGAATTTGAATTTCCGTATCAATTGGAAACCGAGAACCGCAAATGGCTGCTGAACATTTGATCTCGTCCTTGTTAAGTGAATGTAAGCAAGGGTTCTTATAGTAGTGAATGAGGAAAAACCACCATATTGATCCTTGAACAAGTGGATATGAGCTACGCATACCGATCAATCATCTTCCTCAACGTCCCATACTGAAAGAAGTCGGATTAGGTTGGAGAAGGGCTACTAGTAGCCAAACCAAGACGATATTCATCAACGAAACCTTTGATTGTTGGTTTAAACCCTATGGAAACAAGTAGATTATATATCTGAGGTTACTGAGACGACAGGAATCAGTAGTTGAGGGCTTTTGGTGACATGGCTGAAAATCAGTCACAATGACTCAGATGTATTCACTCCTTGATGCGTTCCAAAGCTTAAAATATTTGCACTAAGCTTATCTATTTTTTCACACTACGTTGTCTACTTTAACACCAGTCTTTTCTACTGACATCTTCTTTGTGTACTACTGTGAAGTGTGGGAACTTGAGCCGGTGCACCTCTGTGTGAGGTTGTACGTTGATTTTGCCTATCTTTCTTGAAACAGTTATGCCGGAGGCTGAGTAAGGCCCGAGAATCAGAAACTTTTCATCAAAACTAACATAACGGGTAATTCTGGGCATGTTTACGAAGACGTACACGGTCTTTTGCACCACAGTCTAGTCTGACCAGTTACATTTTGCATAGATCTTTATATCTCCTAAAGCATGAGTCCAAAGTAACATTGATATCTGCACCACCAATGAATTTCAAATTGACTTCAGAAGAGAACCAAATTTTTCACTTTACGAGTAACTGGATGATTGGATGGAAACATATGAGGTTACAGTTTCTATCAGCTTCATTCGAGATGTTTCGTGCTGATGCTACTACTTTTGCTGTAGAAGTAACTGTAACACAATTTGATGAGTTTTCATCATTGATGTAACCTAATAATACTTGGTTGTAATATTTTTCGAAAATGATAACTTGCGAATTAGGAACCATCGTTATCCACCCAGAATACTTGACATGCAATAATGACTACCAATCACTAAGATACTGATCTCACAGTACTGAAAAACACAAAAGAAAGGACTAGGAAGGTAGGATTTATTACTCTGAGAAGAAGCGAAAACTATCAGTAACTGTGATGTTTAATATGGTAAAAATATCTTCTCAGATACTGGCTAAGTAGCTGATTGTCATGGGTTTGCACTACTGAGGAATCCTACACCAAGATAAAACAACTGTTCAATGTACTCCCAGGTTTTCAGTAGTTATCCAACTAATTTCGGTGCGTGACGAATAGTAACCTATATTTGGAATGAATATTTATACATCATAATGATAATAGTTTAAAAATTTGATGTTAGTTGGTTAGAGGTAATCGACACAAAGTCCTGCATATAGTTCTTGTGTCTGCATGACGTATCTGCAAACTCGAGCGAAAAGGTATCTATCACTTAAGAGATTTAGACCAACAATTATGAAATGTTGAATATGCAAGTCTTCTAGCCAATTGTCTACAACTGTCTAAAGTCAGTTAAAGTGTATCATGATGCTGATTCTCGTAATCCGGTGACAAAATTACAAAGTACTCGATGGAATTCAATCAAATGATATTGGTTACTTTTCAGTGACTAATCAATGTAGTTTGATCATCTTCAAGGCCATTCACTGCTTGTTTAATCTTACACGTAATGCATCAAGGTCAACACTTATTTTTGTTTTAATTGTACAGGTTGCGTAATACATTCAGATAAATTTTGAATAATTTCCTCAAGTAATTTCCTACCACTTTTCATTTTCAAATATCTTGCTGTTTTGAACAGGTTACAGTAATTGGATGTATCATTTTCACCTTCTTCGATCGTTAGTACCTACAGGTTTACTAAAGTTGTGTTCTACTGAGCTAGATTTGATAAACTTATTATGATGTTAGGAAGTTATGCTTAGAGGTTTAATTTCGATAGTGAAGAAAATGATTGTCTAGTTGTTTGATTGTTTAGTTAAAATCAGTTATCGAATATGATTGAAGCGGTTAGATGTTACAGGATTCCTTGCTTGTGGAGCTGTGATTAATTAATCTAAACAAATACAACCAACCCCGCCGCATGTACCGAGGTGTTGCTGATAAGAATGGATATAAGTAGGATATGTTGAGATGGTGACAGAAATCATAGGGGATTACCAGTAATGGACAAGGATTCCTCCAAGAGAAACACAAGAGACAAGGCAGGTGTATGAAGAACAAATCAAGAGAGAAACAGAAGAGGAAATGAAGCATATGTTGAAAATGACTGTCTTAGTGCAAGGTGTACCATATTTAACGACTACTATCCTTCCTGTATACCTGTCTCTTGATTCTTTAAATTTCATTACCCTTAAATACAAACGTTGTAGGGGTCAGTTTCTACTCTATGAGCCAATGAATACTCTCATTCAGTGTTCAATATTCCACATTATTGGTTTAATGTACAATAATACTGATAGCAAGAGGA